TTGTGGGTTACAGCAGTGGGGGCTGGGAGCCAGGACTCCTGGGTTCTGTCCCCGGCCCTGGGAGGGGAGTGGATTGATAAGTATTGTAGCAGCATCGCTGCACGGGCGTGTGTCAATGTGTGAGTGGTGGGGAGTATTTCTCAGGGCCAGTGTGTGCATGGGGGGGGGGCAGTTGGTTTGTGTGCCTGTGTATCAGGGTGTCTGCTCCCAGGTCACTGCGTGTGTAGGTCAGAGGGGGAGCCCCTCGGTGGGTCCCTGTGCCCGCTTCCCCCCGCCGGTGCCCCCTACCTGTGCTGACCCCAGCGTCCGGCTCTGCTCCACACTGCCCAGAGGCCGCCACCCCTCTCCTCTCCCAGCCGCCGGCAGCGATTTTGCAGAGGCCGGCAAATCCCTTAATGCCAATGACGGGCCGGGGGGGCCATGGCAGGGACAGCTGGTTCCAGAAGCCGGGATCTGCAGTCCCAGCAGTCCTGCCCCCGGGAGCCTCAAAACAACCTGATGAGTCGGTCAGTTCCATTGAGCCTGGAGCGGCCGCACAGGGGCCTCCCAGGACAGCGCGGGGGAGAAGGGAGCTGGGTGTCCAGGTTTCATACAGGGATCCCTCGCCCAGGGCTGAGATGCAGCCACCTCTGGGGTGAGGCACGGGGCCCCTCCTGATACCCCTCAATTTTCACTCTACAGGGCTAATTTGATCCCAAACACCTGTTCCTCTCCCAAACGGGGGAGCCAGCAGCACAAGGAAGCCCACTGCTGCGTCTACAGGAAATAGGGGCAGATTTTCATTTCATTCCTGGCACCTCTGAAGCCAGTCCCCCAGCCTGGGGCCGGATGAAAGCCGGCGCCCCATAGAGGGGAAAGGCCCCGTGTCCCTTTCCCTGATCCTCTAACTTTCCAAGTAATGTCCATCAACGTAGACTCACTGAAAACTCAACGCATCCCAAATACAAACAACACCTTTATTCCCAACCGCAGAGAACTCAGCAGACGCCAACGTGTCCTATGTTGCATTAAATGAGAGTTATTCTGAAGCCTCCCGAGTGTCCACTCTCCGGGGTCCAATTCGGGTCCCAGCCACCCCCCCCCCACTAGGGGGGCACTGGCTTCCGGTCCTAGACTCCCGGCCTGCGGGATCCCACCTCGGTCCCCTTTCAAGACACAACTATTTCTTGAGGTAAAACACACGCACCCTGCTAATGAGCTCTTAAAAAAAATATCAGGGACTTAACGACTTAACGACCCCCAAGCCCCATAACCGAAGGGGAACCCTTTGCTCCTCGGATTCTAAGGAGCTGCCTTCAGGATGAACGTGAAGGCATCTTCTGCTCTTAATGTCTCAGGGCCTCTGTTAAAAATACCCCCCCCCATGTGATTACCCCACAATAACGCTCGCTGGTGTTCAGACACGGGCATGTCTGAGGCATCATCCATCGGGGTCAGAAGCCACTGCTGGAATCGACGTCACATACACAGCATCTCTCTCCCCTATACGGAGCTACAGAGGGCACTTGCCTTCTTGCGGAGTAGTGTCATTTCTCTGGGCTATATATTAAAATGCCAACGTTGACTGATTGCATATGTACACTCATATAACATGCAACTAATACAGGCAATCAGTCAGATTCCCCCTTTTAAATCTCTATATAGCACAGAAAGCATAGAGCAGGGTTTCTCAAACTGGGGTCGCCGCTTGTGTAGGGAAAGCCCCTGACGGACCGGGCTGGTTTGTTTACCTGCCCCGTCCGCAGGTCCGGCCGATCGCGGCTCCCACTGGCCGCGGTTCGCTGCTCCATGCCAATGGGAGCTGCTGGAAGCGGCGACCGGTACGTCCCTCGGCCCGCACCGCTTCCAGCAGCTCCCACTGGCCTGCAGCGGCAAATCGTGGCCAGTGGGAGCCGTGATCGGCCGGACCTGCAGACGGGGCAGGTAAACAAACCGGCCCGGCCCGCCAGGGGCTTTCCCGACACAAGCGGCGACCCCAGTTTGAGAAACACTGGTATATAGCCTGTCAGAGATCACCGCAAAATATCATTTCTGTGCCATACGCATCGGATATGCGATATAATGTACATGCAATATAGATTCAAGTGCTGGATTTCTATTAATGCAGCTCTATGTCACATGTACAACAAGTCATATGGAAATGAAACCTCTCGATAGCACAAGACAGAACTCTATGGGCAATATAATTCCTCTGCAATAATTCAAACGTGCAATCATTCAAATTCACTATTTTAATCTCTACACATGGCAGAGAATGGGTAGAGTTATTTTGCATATAGATCATGACAATATCATTTTTCTGGGCTATATCTATCATATATGCATGGGCTATACAGATGAAACCGGCAAATTTGTATGATTGCATCTATATGTCTTAGAGGCAACAAATTAGATTGAAGTTTTGTATAAAACTGTGTATAAATCTCTAGCCCAAAGACAGAGTTCTAGGTGCAATACAATTTCTCTGGGATACACAGCGGTGAAAACGGGAGATTCGAATGATTGCTAGATCATAAATGCAGGAAGTCAAATTCACCATTTTTTTCCTTTGTAGTGCACAGAAGTTATACTGCAGATATGACACAAACAGCATATGCAATAAGTGACACTCACTTTTTCAATCTCCATACAGCCGAGAGAAATGTTATTGCCTGTCTAACATCTATATTTTAGCAATCGATCGACTGTACTCCCTGAGATCTGGGGTAGTTGGCAGAGTGACTGGCTCACCCATGTCATCGATACAGACTTACACAGAGAGCTGAGCTCAAACCCATAATCTCCCCAGAGAAACGTTTCAACACGTTAAAACAACTCACAATCCAACTCTCTTTGCAAACACAACTTAACACTGTCAGGGAGTCAACTCTAACAAGACTTCCAAACAGCCTGGCCCTTGGCGTGGTTTTAAACCTAGAAAGAAAACCATAAATCTTGAGAAATTCCAAACGTGATGATACAAAACAAGAATTTGTGTGTGTGTGTAAAAATGCACGGAATATTTTGGGTTTTTTTTTTTAAACCTAGGACTAATCTCCAGACCTTTGACATCAGAAATTTAGGCCCTGATCTTGTGAAGCGAGGCTGGTCACGGTAGAGCCCTGCGTGACATGTACGCGTCCACTCAACGCTAAGCACGTGACACAAACCACAGCGTTCATTTGCAGAACACGGGGGGCACTAATTTGAGTTTCGTTTTCTAACCCGGACATACATACAAAGGTTCAAGTTAGTAACGAAAAGATACCAAACGCCCGTCACCTGGCACTCTGGGGTAGAAGACAGGGGATTTGGGTTTGTTTCATAACCAAATCTTGGAAAGTAACAAATTAAAAGAGACAAACACAACAGAAATCTGGCTTGCTCTGTTGCTCTTTAGGCAAACCCCCATTTCTGATCATTTTTAAACCTAAATCAACATCAAAATCTTTGGACAGAGAAAGACAAGAGGTTGGGAATGGAGGATCCTGGGGAAAAGGCTTGTTTGGGGTGGAGGGTCACAGGTAGAGGGCTAGGAATGGAGGATGATGGGTAGAGGGCTAGGAAAGGAGGATCATGGGTAGAAGACTTGTTGGAGCAGGTTAGGAATGGAAGATGGGTAGAGGGCTAGGAAGGGAGGATCATGGATAGAAGCTTGATTGGGGCAGGTTAGGAATGGAGGATCATGGGTAGAAGGCTAGGAATG